GGAAACAAATTCCTTGTGTGTAACATACTTGGCCAATAAAGGTGATTATGCTATTATTAATATGCATGAAAATGTCGCATTCCATTTGTTTAAAAACACTCTCAGAGACATCTCTAATAAAATGAAAACAATCTCACCGCAAGGTCCATTTAGAAATTATTCTGGTGCTTTTAGAGGTGCTGGTACAGTAGGTGGAGCAAGTCCAGACTTTCTAGGCTGAACTTACCAGCTGCTGACTGTATTTGTATGTGTTGTGTTTTGATATTTACCACACAGACATGAAAATAGTGTATTTCCCAAAATGACAAACAAGAATACATGGAAATCAAACAAACTGAACAAATTCTACTTCATTTATGAAATGTAAAAATGATGTTCCCCTGCAGTGATATGGAAGTACAAATGAGCTAGCTCAATGAATATCAATTAAAAACACACACCCAGTGGGTCACACATGGTCTGACTTGGCTCTGTTGCTAGGGAAGCCAATGAATGAAGAGCTGATCTGAACAGCTGAGTTATTAGAAGCCCTGGCCCCTTATCACATGGCTCCAGCTCGACCTGGAAGCCCTGGTTTTGTGTATTGAATCACTGTCATGAATGCCTTTTTTTCCCTTGGACTTCTATGTGTTTGTGGCCTGTAGGCTTTGTCCAGTATTTAATCAACTGAAATAGCCTGAAATGGGAAAATCTGGTATCATAATTCACTGTCCTGTGCATGTAGACAATCATTTGTCCTGAGAAAAAAAGCTAAAGGCAACCAATGGTAATCGCATTGGCCTCCTGGCTTTGTTCCAGTTGGAGTGAGGAAAGCTAAAGTTGATTAAGAGGCACAAAAACACGCATGTGCGCGTGATACTGTCATCCTATAAAAAACAGGTCCATATGTCATTTGTGCCAGCAGGTTATTACCACCAACAGTAAGGTGGTATAATTAGGCAGCCTCTACTGACCATAGTAATTACAGTATGACACAAGCAAAGGAGAAAGTGATGCAGTGTACAGAATGACAGAGTCTGGGCTAGGAGGAGAGAAGGTTAGGGTGGATGGATCTGAAAACACAGGACTTTCCCAAGGGAGAGCCATGTTCAATTCTTGCATGAAACCTAATGAAGCCATGTTGGTTCCACAGTTGTAACCATGCATTTATGATTGTTTCCATGATGATGGAGGTCCGGTGCACTTACTGGTGGAATAGGGTTAGGGGCATATGATTGTGGCAAGAAAGCTCTAGTAAGCATGCCAAGAGAATGGTCCTATGGGTTGTAATTTATAGTAGGGTTAAGTGATGTACTGTATATTTCTGATTACTCTAGGTTGTAGGACTTGTTGGTGCTTGCATCCATGCATACACAGAAAGAATATGGGTCTTACCAGCATGCAGTGCTGATGTCAGGTAACAATGAAAGACATGGTGACAGCCATTCTGAAAAGGAGGGCGCAAAGAGAGAAGAAGATTAATTCGATTACTGTTACAGAACTCACACACATATATGGACTGTGGACTCATATAAACAGAAGTACACAAATGAAATGCAGAAATGCACCCTGGGCTGAAGGCTTGGCAGAGCAGAGTAGATAGATTAGTGTAATAGTCTCAGGAAAAGGCAATCATCTGCCCACTGTAGGGCTTCAAATACTGGCAGCACGATCCAGCTAAGATACAAAAAAAAACCTAGAATGAATGAGTTTGTTTGGATGAGTTCTCAGTGCTGATGGCTAACACTGTCAAGAAGTAATCATATGCAAGAGAAGGAAAACCCGCTGACTTACAGTCCTGTTTGAAAATATATTTTGTGAGCTCAGCATGCCGCGGAATAGAGTCTAGACACACAAAACACATCGTCACATTACTATAGTGACAAGTTACAATGGTGGCTTAGTTTGCATGTCAACAGTGATAGCTAACCAGGCATTGCAAATTTCACCGTCATGACGGATTGGATTTGCATACATAGATTCTAATTAGGTGTGCGTCCAGAAGGACTCATGTAGTTAGTGGTTTATTAGATGCAAAGGGTTCTGAGGTGAGGTGTAATTTATTTATGCGGCTACATGGTGAAGCAGCAAACAGACTCTGAACCAAAGTACAGTGGCTATACAGCACGTTAATACACAGTCCAGCTAGTTTATTTTATTTACACCCAACTGCGTATTTTGTGTTCAAAATATTGTTGTTATATGTGCAATATTATGGCCTAGCATTCAGGCTTATATCCTTTCTTTAATTTTATAATGGTTTTTATGATTGTTTTGTGATTGAGTGTATGTATGTTCTTAACACCATAGTGATGTGACGAGCACTTGTAATTTCATTGTATCCTGAATACAATGACAATAAAGGTATCTTATCTTATCTTATAATCACTGTCCGTAGACTTCAACCAAAACACAGGAATTAAACACAATAGCAACATTTGCTTTTTGTTACTGTTTTCTGTCACGAATGTCTGGTTTCATTGCAAACAAAATTATATAATACATAAAATTTATAAAACACATGTCTAAACATGAAATACATGGTTGATTTTGCCAAATATTACTATACTTGACATAAGGAAATTCAGTAAAGTATTCTTTTGAGTATATTTAAGAGGCTTAGCACTGTGGTTATGTTTGCTCTATCACTTTTACTGTAAGTAGATCTAAGATTATGTTATGTGCAGTGTATATTTGTGTATATTTGTACCATCTGCCTGTGTGTATACAATAGGTGTGGCTCAAACCATTGAAAATCAAAAATATCTTGACCCTACACTCAGTCAAGATATGTTTCAACAATCCTTGAATATTCATAACTGATTACTT